GGACCCTAGCTTGGGGATTTTTGTTTCTATGAAACAGTTACTAGTGTTATTCACATATTTCCAATTCTCTGCTTTCTAGCCATATGCAACAACTTTATTCCCCACCTCTTTTTGAAGTTAGACATGCCCATGCTACGTGTTACAGCCAATGACATGTGAGTAGAAGTGACTTGTGTCATTCTATTTGATAACTTTGCAGAGTAATACATACTTTTCCTGTTTTTTTTTTTTTTTTTTTTGCCATACTGATGTGACCGCAAGTGTGCATAAAGAAAAAGCCTTCAGTAGCCTGGATTCCTGAGTAACTGTGATAAATAAAGCCATACATCTGACTTTTGGTGGACATGTAATATGAATGAAAAATAAATTTGTGTATTAAAAATTTCATTTTATTTTGCTTATTTATTGTCTTTTAGAGACAGAGTCTTGCTCTGTCACCCAGGCTGGAATACAGTGGTGTTATCATGGCCACCGAAGCCTTGAATTCCTGGGCATAAGCTATCCTCCTACCTCAACCTCCAGAGTAGCTAGAACTACAGACACACACCACTATGCCAGCTAATTTTTACATTTTTTTTTTTTTTCAGAGATGGAGGTCTTTCTATGTTGCCCAGGCTGGTCTCAAACTTCTGGACTCAAGTGATCCTCCTTCCTTGGCCTCCCAAAGTGCTGGGATTGCAGGCACTGTGCTCAGCCAATTTTTGCCTTTTTAAGCAACTAAAATTTTGGGGTTGTTTGCCTCTCTAAAAAGATCTAGCCCAACCTAACACACACTATTAAATTAACCTTCGATTAAGAAGTTTAAATGTTTTCATCACCTGCAGAAACTTATGGTAACAGAAAAAGTAAAATAGAAAGAAATAACTATTTACTTGTTGGATTTTGGGTGTTCATGGAAAATATGTTTTGGGGTAGTAAGATCTTGATATTCTTCTACTCTGCAAGCAGTTCCTAATGGGAGAAAGAACAAAATCAAATAAATCATGGTTCTCTCAAGTTTTATCTACCACTTCATCCTTGCCTGGAAAGAAGGAGTAAATACAAGTTGTGTTTTACGTTACACATGACCGACAAAGTGCTACATATTTTTCAAAGCTTTATGAGATAAACTTACATAACATAAAATTTTCCATTTTAATTATTTTAAATGGTCTTTAGCATATTCCATATGCTAGGCAAGCATCACTGCTGTCTAATTTCAGAACATTTTCATCACCCCAAAATGATAACCTGTACCCATTAAACAGTCACAATCCAAGCTTCCTCCCTTCAGCTTCTGGCAATCTCTCATCTATTTTCTATTCTGTGGGTTTGCTTATTCCGAATATTTAATATTAATGAAATTGAACAATACGTGGCCTTTTGTGTCTCACTGCTTTTACTTAGCATAATGTTTTAATGTTTTAGAGGTTCATTCATATTTACGGATATGTCACATTTCCATTCAGCAATTGATGGAAATGATGGTTGTTTACACTTCTTGTCTATTATGAAGAGTGCTGCGGTCAACATTTGTATATAAGTTTTTGTGCAAAGATAAGCCTTCATTCTCTTATTTGTTTGGGGAACCACACAACTGCCTTCCACAGCTGCTGTACTATTATATTTCCACCAGCAATGTATAAAGTTCCAATTTCTCCAATTTAAAAAACAATTATAGCCATTTAGTAAGTGTAAAGAGATATCTCATTGCAGTTTGGCTTTGTATTTTCCTAATTATTAATAATGTTAAGCATCTTTGGCCCGATGTGGTGGCTCACATTTATAATCCCAGCACTTTGGGAGGCTAAGGCAGGAAGATTGCTTGAGCCCTGGAGTTCGAGACAAGCCTGGGCAACATAACAAGATCCCGTCTCTACAACAAAAAGGAAAAAAAAAAAAAAAAAAAAAAAAACATGTTTAGCATCTTCCCATGTGTTTATCGGCCATTTGTACATCTTCTTTCTAGAAATACATATTCAAACATCTGTGCATTTTAGCTTCAATTATTTGCCTTTTTGTTGCTGAGTTATGCAAGTTTTTTTCAGTATATATTTTGCATATTAGACTTTAATAAAATACGTAGTTTGCAAATATACTCTTACATTCTCTGACTTTTTTTTTCATTTTCTTGATAGTGTCCCTTGATGCACAAAATTATTTAATTTTGATGAAATCAAAATTTTATCTTTTGATATTTGTGCATTTGGTATTATATTTAAAAAATTATTGCCTAACCCAAGTTTTCACAGAGTTGTCCCTATGTTTCCCTCTAAGAGTTTTTTTTTGATGGAGGCTCAGTCTGACACACAGGCTGGAGTGCAGTGGTGGTACGAACTTGACTCACTGCAACCTCCACCTCCCAGGATCAAGTGATTCTCCTGCCTCAGTCTTCTGAAGTAGCTGGGATTACAAGCGCTCACCACCACACCTGGCTAATTTTTGTATTTTTAGTAGAAACTGGTTTCACCATGTTGGACAGGCTGTTCTCAAACTCCTGCCCTCAGGTGATCTGCCTGCCTCAGTCTCCCAAAGTGCTGGAATTAATTTGTATGTATGGTATGAGATAAGAATCCAAATTCATTCTTTTACATGTGGTTATCAATCTGTCCAGCATCATTTGTTAAAAAAGACTTTATCTATTGAATAGTCTTGTTACACTTGTCAACCATCATTTGACCATAGATAAATGAATTTACACCTGGACTCAGTTTGATTCCTTTAATTTATATGTCCATCCACATGCCAGTACCATACTGTTTTGATTATTGTAGACTTGTAGCAAATTTCAAAATTCACTCCCTAATTGGGTTCTGGGCTAAAAATGAATCTACAACTATGATGCTCTGTTTTTATATAGAGTCCCCTCTCAAATCAGATTATTATTTAACCCCTTTATATCCATCCACTGCAGTGTGAGCTGATAATGTGTAATTCGTCCCTGCTTTGCACAGTTCTTTTCTTTCACTAGATGTGTTTTTTAACCTATGTTAGCTTGGGCAGCCATAAAAATACCATAGACTGGGTGGCTTAAACAACAGGAACTTATTTTTCACAGTTTCATAGGAGTCTGAGTAATCCAAGATCAAAGTGCCAGACAATTTGGCTCCCCGATAAGGGCTCTCTTCCTGTCTTGTGGATGTCCACCTTCTTGGCGTGCCCTCACATGATGAAAAATAGAGTTGTAATCTTTCTTACTCTTCATATAAGGACACTGTTAAAAAGGTAAGTTTTAAAGAGTTTATTTGAGCAAACAACAATTATGAATTGGGAAGCTCCAAACCAAAAGTGGACTGGGAGCTCCACCAAGAAAATGCATGAGAGAGGCTTTTACAGGAAAAATACAGAAGGAAAACAAAGAAAATATGTAATTGGTTAGAGTTATACAGTTGCCTTATTAGGTTTATCTTGTTCGTAGTTAACATGATTTTAGGTTTTTTGTCTGTTTCTGAGTGGTTGGCGCCTAAATTCTGTTTTTCTTTAATATAGGCATTTACAAGAAACTTAGCTCAAGCTAAGTTTTGCTTATGTTTGAAAATTGAGCAAAGTTGAAGTCACTTGTGAGGCCTCACTGGTGAAATCTGCTCTGACATTCTTCAGACCTGGCCTCCATTTTAATTCAATTTAATTTATCATGGAGGTCCATGCTGAGAACCTCATCTAAACCTAATCACCTCCCAAAGGCCCCACTTCCAGACATCATCACATTGGTGGTGACGTCTTCATTACACAAATTTTGGGGAAAAAAAACATTCAGTCTATAACATTACCTATCACTTCAACAGAAGGTGGTAAAATATGAGAGGGATAAAATCCTGTAGTTTTATAAATTCAGAGTGATTGTTAACAGCTCCTATGGGACAAAAATAAAAAGAGTGTAGGTTGGGAAAAATATAGATCTACCCACAGTTTGGCAAGAATTTTGACTGCTGCTTCTTCCCAAGCAGTGATAATAACCAGCTCAGAATTAATTAGATTTAATAGATTAAAAAAAATTGTCTAGCAAAAGAACCCTCTTCTATTAGGAGTTTCTTGTTTCATATTCCAATGGCATAGCCTTTTAGTTGTCGATTTAAATTTTGTAAAAACTGGGAAAGTAGTCAAGACCCTTAAACTGTATACTGAGCTTTTATTTTAATTTCAAAATTATTTAGTTTAATTAATAGAGACAATCTCTCTTTTATTTTATTAAACTTATTAAACTATTCAGTGTTGCACATTTTTTACATCATAAACAATTAGTAAGGAACAATAAATGTTTGAGTTCTCCAATTTTCGAATTCTTTTATAATTTGAATATATAAATACTAGTGATTTGGACATATTTATGCATTAAGGTTGATAAATCATTTTATTTTTCTCCTTTAAAATAATTGTTTACCCAGTGAAATTAATCTGAGAAAAAGCATCCAGGTCTTTTCTGAGCTACTGAACCACACTTATGCTGTCTGTTTGTACAGTACTTGTTGATTTTACAATACTGAAGTTGATAGCTGATTGTCTACCAATATCTGTTCTCCCTATTTCTTTTTTCCTTTGTTTTTTGTTTTTGTTTTTTGAGACAGAGTCTCACTGTGTCACCCAGGCTAGAGTGCAATGGCATAATGTCGTCTCACTGCAACTTTCGTCTCCTGGGTTCAAGTGATTCTCCTGCCTTAGCCTCCTAAGTAGCTAGGACTAAAGGTGCATGCCACCACACCCAGCTAGTTTTTGTATTTTTAGTAGAGATGGGTTTTCACCATGTTGGCCAGGAAGGTCTCGATCTCCTGACTTCGTGATGCACCAGCCTTGGCCTCCCAAAGTGCTGGGATTACAGGCGGAGCCACCACGCCAGGCTGTTCTCCCTATGTCTTAATAGTACAGTTGTGTCTGGCACAGCCCCTTCTTGCTAGAGGTGATCAGACTCCCCTGCTGCTGGATATGCCCAAGTGAATATCCCAAGCGGAATAATGTATTCCACTTTCTTAAAGAGAAGGATTTCACCTCCACTTCTCACATTCCCCTAACCTGTAATTTGGACCATGCAGATGAGAGAAAGCCCAGAGCAGGGCAGCTGGCTAGAAGGAGCCCAAGACCCTGAGTAACAGATATTATGGGGCACAACTGCCCACCTCTCTAAACTACCACCTTCTTCTAACCTGTTGCATGAGAAAAAAAGATGTCATTATACCATTTCACCCTATTTACATAGGGTATTGTCTAATATAGACACTATTGTCTAATATAGTATTGTCTAATATAGACACTACAGAATAAGTGCACTCTATTTAATGTTACATGTCTTAGTTTTGAGGAAGAAACATAAGAATATGTGATATTTTCTCTTCTCTTACTGAGTTTCTAACTGAAGGAAAAAAACTAATACAGGAGAGAAAATCTGGACAATGAAACACTTCGCCTAACTAGTACATCACTACTGGAACATAACACTCAGTGAAAGAACTGGATTAGTTGAAGAAGTTTATGATGATGGAAGAAAAGTCTCGAAGTAGGGGCAAAATAATTTTCAAAAGATGAGAACAGGAAGGACATTCAAATTTACAGAAGTAAATGCATGGGATCAGAAAGAGTATGTTATGTGAAGAAAATGATACGAAATTGCATGATTGGCATGTACATTTCATAATGTGAGGAAAGAGTGAGTGCGTTAGGGCTGTGTATGCAGAAATTTAGGTTCTTAATCCATAAAATAACGTTGTTACAGTGGTAAGAAAACCACATCAGCATGGAAAGAGAGTGGAAGCAAGGATGATCACTTAAGCTATAACCTAAATCCTGGAGTATGATAAAATGATTTTAAAGAGAAAACAGAGATTATAAAGATTATAAAGAGAACAGAAAACAAGACATACTTGCTCACAGAATATGCATTTGTAAAAGTCTAAATCTATATGAAAATCAAAGTTTTCATGAAGCATTTTTTACTCTGTATCAGTAATGCAACCAGCAGTAATATCAGGATAGAATTGCTTAACACATAATTGTTTTCCATTTACTATCATTGCTACTGACATTCTTAGCAACAAACTTTCCGTCATCATGGGAACTTAATCTTGACTTATTTATAGTAGGATTAGTTTAGTTAGTTGTTTCACAAGATATTTTGTAATCTTAGTCTACTTGATTGCAAATACAATGTCTGTTACATAGAAAGGGCTCATATATTTTTTGTGGAATTGAACTAGAAACTGTACGATATTTCTATTGCAAAATTTTCTACATGTGTGTGGCATAGATGGTGATGAAGATGGCCTCTCAGGGGATAACAGGACTTTATAGGGTATTTAATTTAATAATTTAGAATAAAGCCTTCGAGAAGTGATTGTGTCCTCACCTACAATTGTACTTTCTTTGTTGCAATACTTATACTCCAGGGAAGAAGTTACGCTAATCATGGTAGTATTCCCTTGATTCATTCTTTGAACAAATGTTCACTAAGTGCTACCAGGTGGTAGGCATTGCTCTGTGTTCTAAGGAAAGAGTGGTTGAACAACCTCCTTGCTCTCATGGAGCTTAAATTATTATAGCAGAGATAAACAATAAATAAGTTAAAAAATTAGTGACAGGAACTTACTCTTTGTACAATGAAGAAAGTAAAGTAAGAGTCTACTGATGATTGAAGTAGGGAGGTCAGGTAAAGGCTTCCTGTTGGTAAGTGGTCAGAGAAATGAATGATGAGATAAAGGAGTCATGCAATATCTGGGGAGAGCAAATTCCAGGTAAAGATAACAAGAAATGTAAAGTCCATGCAGCGAGAGCCAGCCTGGCAGGTTGACAAAAAAGAAGGCAAAATGACTAAACAGAGTTAACAGGTGAGGGAATGAGTGGGAATAAATTAGGTCAGGGAGATAAGAAAGCACCTGATTATACTGGGCTATGTAAGCCTTGGTCAGGAGTTTTGATAGAACAGAAATGAATTATATGTATATTAGAGAAAATAAATATGGTTGTGGTTGGTATCATAATCTGCAGCTCAACTTAGAACAGAAGTACTTAAACAGTACACCACATCTACGCTTAAAGCTTCCAGTAAGTTTTTTAACAGCCCCATCTTTGACGTAAGCTACACCAAGTGACACCAGGCACCTGAGGGAAGCACTAGAAGAAAGTCGGAAATCCAAGCAAATACAAACGAAGAAGGGAACAGTACAATAGCAGGAAAATTGCCATTTTTATTCTTATTTATTTATTTTTCAACTGGCCAAGTCAATATGTATTAAGAAACACAAGAACACATGCACAGCAGTAACAAAAGCAGAGACAGGGAAAGGAAACTCAAGATCTCCTATCTGGGAACAGGCTGACGGCATTGTATTTCTACAGGGCACACCTCATTTTAAGAAAGAAGACACCTTCAAGACCAGATTGACAAGCTAGATAATGAGGAGGTATCTTCGTTTTTGTAAGTGAACTTTTTTTTGAGATGGAGTCTTGCTCTGTTTTCCAGATTGGAATGCAGTGGTATGATCTCGGCTCACTGCAACCTCCGCCTCTCGGGCTCAAGTAATTCTCCTGCCTCAGCCTCCCAAGTAGCTGGGACTACAGGACAGCATTATCATGGCCACTTCATGTTTTGTATTGTTAGTAGACACAGTGTTTCACCATGTTGGTGAGGCTGGTCTCGAACTCCTGATCTCAGGCAATCCACCTGCCTTGGACTCCCAAAATGCTAGGATTACAGGCATGAACCACCACTCCTGGCCTGTAAGAGGCCTTAAGGCAGCTTCACTCCTCTGAGGAATGGGAAGTAGAAGAGATTTATGCAGGAGTATTCACACCCTCCAGTTGTGCTAAGAGGGCTCATGAGTACCTAAGGTGGTTCTAGAAGCAAGAAAGAAGAGAACTGATTTCTCTTCAGATTGTTTTCCTTTCCCAGAAGAGGAAAAACATCCTCCAAAGCAGACTGGAGAAAGACGCTTCCCCCAGAAGCTCTGGGAAAGAGCTTCTGGGGAAAGCAGAAGCAAGCGCAGTCCCATGTCGGTGCCTGCCAGCGTGGCCAGACTTTGGCACAGGAACACAAGTCCAGAGCCTTGCCTAGGGTCATTGGTCCTTCTTTCTATAGAGCTCTGTAAGGGTCCAGAGCCTGTGGCCTCATCAGATAACTACATCTGTGGCTTGGGATGAGATCTTGTAGGATAGCCATATGCTTGCCCATACGCACAAAAGGAGGCCACAAAATCAAAGATATGCAGGCAAGACAGAGGAGAGGAAATTATAGGCCAAAGGCCTATTGCTTGCGCAATTCTTTGTTTCTCATCTCTATACCTGTTATCTGTATGTATGTGGCCAGAAAGGAGCTTGGGTAGTCATCTGACCCAATCATCTCACCTCATTCTCACTCAGGTGCAAAGGTGAAGCCCAGAGAGGTCCAGCCACTGGCCTTAGGTCCCCTAGGTTGGGTCCAGGTCAGATCTGGCCACCAAGCCTCTGGGTCACCACCCTCGGCCCTTCTCATCTGAGGCAGCTTCAATGCCCATATGTGGGTTTATATATTTACAACTGAGTTGGCTGGATTTGATTATCCACTCCTGCTACCAGTTCAGTTCTAGCTGTAATGCTTGGAAGCCACCATGAAGGAGGTGATTAGGAGGTGATTAGGACATACAGGTGTGCACGCAGAAGAGGTGGACCAGAAAAAAATCATGAGAATCATTATCAAGTTGAAAATAGTGACCACTCCAAATTAGCTATAGGTGCTGTAGTCAGTCCACAGAGAGCTCTGAACGCAGATGAAGGCAATAAGTAGGGTAAACTTGTCATTTTCTAGTAGTGGTGAACTCTAGAAGAGGCCCAAGGCAGGGGAACCGTTCTCCAATGGAACAGCCTTTGTAGTGATTTCCTAAGTCCATTGAAAGACACAGTCTGCCAAAACTCACAGAAGGAGAAATAGATAATCTGGGTAGGCTTAAATGTATTAAATACATTGAATTAATAATAATCTTCTAAAACAGCACCAGATCCAGATGAGTTCACAGGTGAATTTTACTAAACATTTAAGGAAGAAATTCTAAAAATTTTCCAAATCTCTTTTAGAAGGTAGAAGCACAGGGAATAACTGTTAACTCATTCTATGAGACCAGTGTTAAAACTGACAAAAGTATTATGAGAAGGGAGAACTACAGACCAATAGTTCTCATGAATATTGATGTGAAAATCTTTAGCAAAATATTAGCAAGTTAAATTCAGCAATGAATAATATAAATGTATACATATAATATATATACACACACACACACACACACACACACATACACACACATTATATATGTTATATACATCACTATTAGATTTTTCAACATTTTTAGCTATTTTTCTTCTGGTATTATCAATTAAAAGCCATCCTGAACACACACACACACACACCTGAGTTCACTTCCCAATATCTTTCTGATGTATTTATACCAGTGATATTTTTCATTTAGTTTTAATCATCTCAATTTATCAAGGTAAAATATTAAAACCCAATTAGTGATCATGATATTTTTTGAGAAAAATTATTGTTGTGTTTATTGTTATTGCATCATAATAGGTTTGTCAAAAAAGGTTTTCCAACAAAATGAAAACACAAGATTATGGGCTAAGCAGCGTAAATCTAGCTGAAGTGAGTGCTATGAACTCAGCTGTGGGTACTGAGAGCAACAGCGGGCAAAGAGACTATGGATCTGTATTTTTCAAGCACAGTACTGTCCCTAGAAGGAAAGATTAAAAAAATATTATAACAGACTGATTATGTCCCCTCAAATTCCCATGTGCTGTGCAATGCTAACCTACAATGAGATATTATTAGAAGGAGGGCCTTGGGAAGTGGTTAGGTCATGAGAATGCAGTTGTTGTAAATGAGACCAGTGCCCTTGTAGAAGACGACCCAGGGAGCACTCTCGCAGTCTTCTCTATATATGAGGATACAAGGAGAAGTTGGCAGGCTGCAACCCAGAAGGCCATCACTAGAACCTGACACTACTTTAATTTCAGACTTCCAGCCTCCCGAGAAATAACTATCAGTTGTTTATAATCTACCCCATCTATGGCACTCTATTGTAGCCACCTGAGCATACTAACAAATAGTAGCCACAACATTGAGAAGTCACAGGACAGAAGCTTGAGGAGAAGAAGGCTAGCTGCTGACAGATGTCTATGAAAAGTAGACCTTGACTATAGTTTGGAAGAGTTTTTCCAACATGAAGAGTTTGACATGAAGATACGTCGTATAAACACCAGGATTTCCCTATGAAACAAGACTTGAATGGTTATCAAGGTGTGATGAATAACGTGATGGGTTCATGATGACTTTTGCAAAGATACATCCACATTGTAATGCCCAAATCCTGTGAACATTGCCTGACTTCTAAAAAGGGTATCTGCAGATGTAATTAAATTAAAGACTTTGTGATATGGAGCTCATCCTGGATTTCCTTGTAAATCCAATTGTAAGTGTTCTAACAAGAAACTCACAGATGAGAAGACAAACACAGAGGAAAGGCAATTTGAAGACAGAGACAGAGGTTGGAGTGATGTGGCCATAAGCCAAGGGAGCCAAGGAATATCTCCAGTCACCTGGAGCTGGGAAGTATTCTCTCCTAGAGTCCCAAGAGGGCTCAAGCCTGTCAATACATTGACTTCAGACTTCTGCCCTCCAGAGAGAAGAAAGCTTTGTTTTAAGCCACCAAGTTTGCAGTGCTTTGTTACAGCAGCCACCTGAATCTATTAATAAGGCATTATATATATCAAATGTAGGTCAAATAAATAAATATTAGGCATAGGAGACAATGCATGCACATGCACATACACACACATACACACATACAAATTAGGATGGGAAGTGGGGAATGCAGGCTATGACTACGTCTATGATATTCCTTCAAACTCTTTAAAATAGATGGTAAGGTAGCTTTTGTCTTCCTTTGTGACTTCTGCTATACTTTTCCTTTCAGGCAAAAATTAAAAAAAATAGATAGATATAAATATAGATATAGAATGGATATAAACAAATTTATACTATCAATTACATTTACACAGGTTGATTCTTAACTTTTTTGGAGGTATCTAATTAAAACACCTAACCACCATGCTGCTAATTTTCATCTATTTTGATGTGAATTTGCTCTTTTTTTTTTTTGTATAATAGGGTTAAAACAAATCTGATAAATTACTTTAAATGATATTTTAGTGGTGGTATTTCTCAGTATATACTTATATTTTATTAAGGGACTATTGAAAACAATGAAACAAATTTTAATTGTTTTGGAGGTTTTATTAGGTTTCAACTTAAAGAGCAGAAATTCAGGTCATCCTCAGGTTTCAATAAAGTGGAGGTCATTATTCAAATTTCCATGCTGCAGTTGGTGTTTAAAAAATGATATGTGTGTGTCTGCATGTACTGAAATATTTTATCAGTGAACTGAAATTTATTATCACTAAAAGGAAATTGTAGGTGTTATTAACCTCTCTTTTCCCTCTTCTCTTTTTTATTTCTTCTATATAGATGCAGAAATGAAAACAAAGCCTATAAAAATCATAACTTTAAGCTATTCTAATAAGTTAGCATAGTTTATTAGAGTAAACCTTTTGATTGTTTATAAACTTTAAAGTTAATTTTATCTTTCCTTATAAGTAGACACATTCTATAACAATTCTTTTTTTTTGTTTGTTACTAAAAGCTAATGTTTTCTGGTATTATAAAGTCCCTCTCCATTTTGATTTCTGAGGGTTAGAAAGATACACCGTGTTAGCTTAATTCATTGCCTTTCAAAAGAATTGTAACTGTGTAAACCAAGAGTTAAATTAGAGTCCAGAGGCTGATATAAATTTGTGTTTACTCTTCCTTTCATATACATTTAGGTCAATGACAAGTTCGCCTTCCTTCAGGACCCAGAAGACTCTCCCTGAGCCACCTTTCCTCCTTCATTTTCAACTAGATCTCTTCCATGTATTGGTCTTGGTCTCTATTTCTAAATTTGCAGAGTTTATCAAATTCTCCTACCCTGGAAACTACCATTTTGGGCCCCCTTTACCCTCACTTCTCCCCAATTTTAATGTAAGCTGTTTGAGGACATGGACTTTTCATATTTCTCTCCAACTCCCCAAATCTCGGAACTGTACCTGGCACACAAGTAGATATTCAACAAGCATTTGTTCAGTGAATAAATTCTCACAGGCATGAGATTGAAGTAACTAAAAGAACTTTCTTCTGCTAATTATCATCATTCTTTGCTTAAAGACTTCAAGGGATTTGAATGAAAAGACAAAGAAGGTGGAGGAGGCAGAAAATTCCATCCTGTGAGAATGGTAAACCACTTCTTGGAAGGGAGCCACCAGCCAGCACCTGGGAAATTCGATTGCACGCTTATTGGGTGAGGTGCATTGAGTGATTACATCTTTACCACCAACCAACTAGGATGAAATTATTTATCTGAAATTTCAAGTCAGAACAGTGGAGAGTGCATTGGGGTATGGGCAATTCGGTATTTTTTATTTTCAAAAAGGACTTTTATGATGGGCAGAGAGAAAGACAGACATGAGATGAATGAACATTTTATAAAACGGCACAACCATCAAAGGCCATATGGCTGCCACAGAGATTAGGATAAGATGTTATCTGAGGCCAGAAGTAAAGAAGCCAAGTCACTGAAAGATGAGATAACATTAATGTCCAATGATAACAGTCCTTTGAAATAGGGATTTCCCCTCTCCATAGGCTCAGAATTAATTGGGCATATAGGAAAATTATTGTGGTAGTGGGAGAGAGAAATAAAGGAGTAAAAGGAGGCAAAACATTATAGTTATAAGAAAGGAAAAAAGGGGGGACCAAAAAAAAAATACAGGGCAGCCTGAAGTCACAGCTTTCTTAACCAGATGAGGCAAAGAGCTCTGAGGAAAGAGAGTCAGACAGTTGGAAACCAGAGCAGAACCAGGTGACAGTCAAGAGCATAAACTCAAAAAGAAAACTAGAACGCAGTCTCTGGGGGACCAGAGATCCCCGGTGACCCACCCATCTTTTCTAGCTCTGGGGAGAACATGGATACCAGAGGTTGGGTGTCTCTGACTTCTTTCCTTGGATGCTTGGATGTT